GCGGCCCCCCGCCCGACCGACCCGCCGACTGACGGACCCGCTGACCCACTGACTGATGGACCCACTAACCCACCGACGGACGCCACCACCCAAGGACCCACCGACTGACTGATGGACCCGCTGACTGATGGACCCACTGACTGATGGACCCACTGATGCACCGACTGACTGACCACCCGAAGGACCCACAGCCTGACGGACCCACCAACTGACGGACCCACTGACTAACCACCTGACGGACCCACTGCCCGACTGACTGGTGGACCCACTGACCCACCGCCTGATGGACCCAGTGACTGATGGACCCACTGACCCACTGCCTGATGGACCCACCATCTGACGGACCCACTGATCCAGCAACTGACAGACCCACAGACCGACAGACCCCCCAGCTGACTGACTGACAGCGACCCACTGCCTGACGGACCCACTGCCTGATGGACCCACTGACCCATCAACTGATGGACTCACCAAACGACGGACCCACAGACCCCCCAGCTGACTGACTGACAGACCCATTGACTGACTGATCCACTGCCTGGCTGACTGATGGACCCACCAACTGACCCACTGACTGATGGACCCACTGACTGATGGACTCACTAACCCACCAGCCAACGGACCCACCGACTGACCCACTGGCTGATGGACCCACTGACTGCCCCACGGACTGACCAACCAACTGACAGACTTACTGACCACCTGACAAACGGATGGATGGACGGATGGATGGATGGACGGACACTACTGGGCATGGGAGGGGGAAATGCACCTGAGCTGCAAGAGCGATAGGCGAGGAGCAGAAATCCCCCCTCTTTGGGAAAACAGTCTTTGCCCAAAATCTCACCTGGTGAAATTTCACCCGTTTGCTCTTTCCATCTCCCTGCTTTAACAGGTTTCCCAGTATGAAGGAAACTTTAGTGATTTGAATAAGGATTTTGTTTTCCCAGCAGCGTTGTCAGGCCAGCTTGGCGTGTAGGGTATTTGGGGCAGTGATATGAGTTTAACTAGTCCTCGAGCGGGGTGTCTGGGGCAGGCGAGGGCGCGCGCAGACCCGCACCGTGTCCGTGCGCTCTCCCTCTCAGACGCTGCTTCTGCTTCAGACCCAGCCACGCAGCACCTTGAAAAGCCACATCGCCCTTTTATACCTGTGTAGCTGAAATGGGTGAAAATCTGCTCTGTTTTGCAATCCCGTATGTGAAATGTGCTAATAAGAGATGCCTCTGCTGACCCCAACGGATCCCGGGCACTCTCCCGGAACAGCTCCGAGCGCGTTCCCGCCTCGTCCTCCCCATTTGTCTGCCCTCCCTCGGAGTTTTGTACATTCAGCTCACACACAACCGCGTAGCCAAAGACAGTTGGGAGCTGCAGCGCGAGCAGCCAAGGAACTAAACATTCCCGCTAGCTCTATCCCCTAATCATAACCACGAGCGCTAAAAGACAACCGGGAGCCGGGGCTGGGAATACCGCGCCGGGAGGCGCTGCCAGCTCCGCTGCGCCGCGGCGTTTCCCACGCGGTGGCTGTGCCCGGCTGGTGGCAGGCGGTGCGAGTGACGGACGCTGCACGTCGCGCACAGCCGCGCCGGAGGCCGCCTGTTCCCTTCTCATGCGGGACGTGCCTGGATGGAGGGCTCGGGAACGCCGGGGGGCGTTTTGGGGTGGATGACCCCGTTCTGGAGTGTCTCCTGTGCCTACGGTTGGTGCAATGGGATGGGGGAGGTTTATTTTGCTGTCCCCGGGTTGTTTGCGCTGCAGTCGAACGACTTGGGGGCTGCAAACGCGTCTGCTCCCCACGCGTCGCTGCGTGGCAAGAGGGCTGAGCAGGGGCTGGTTCTGCAGCCCGCGCCTCGGATATGGGAGATATCAAATCCCCAAAAGATGTTTTCAGGATCCGATTGCCGAGCACGGCAGGAAGGGGGAAAACGCTCATTTCCGATTGCTCATGGGCCTGGGGGAGAGGGGAGACAGCTCCAAAAATCCGCTCACGTCCCATCCAGGTGCCATAATCCCGGCCTACTGCCACTCAGGGTAATTTTCTTCTCCAAAACCTTCTTCGCAGACCCTGTTTGTCCCCAAACAGAGGGGAAAAACTGCAGGAAGGGGGCCTTGGCTTTGCCCCCCGTGAAGGCAACGTGGCACGAAGGATGTGGCCACCCGGGGCCGCGCGTTGTCCTCAGCATCCCCGCGGGAGCGCGGTCCTGCCCTTACCCATAGCACATTACCCTCTTCATGCAGCTAATTGGAGAGACCTCGTCACCATTGAAAGGTCTGGAGTTTCATCCCATTTAATATTCTTTTCAGGTCTCGGCCCCAGCATATGGCTCCCTGGCGCATCCAGGCTTTGCTGCCAGGCTGAAAGCGGAGCCGCTGGTGAGGCTGGGTTGGTGCCTATAACACAGGGAATGGGATCTGCACCATGGGGACCTGTGGTGGGGTTAGGAGAAGTTCCTGGATTGGGAATTTGTGGCTGTCCCCTCTGGAAAGAAGAAAAGGCAGATTTTGAACCGTGTTGCCTCAAAAAGCAGAAGGTTGTCCAGTTTTGGCCAACTGGAAGGAGAAGTGGTTCAGGCTGAGTGTTAATACTCAGCTGAGCGAAAATGAAACATTTACACGTTAATGCAAAAGCCAAACGAGTGCAGCTCTACAGGAGGTCCCCAGAAATATAAATACTGAAAGAGAAGAGTTTGCTCTTATGAAAAAAAGAGAAAAGAAAAGTCAACATGGAAATGGGAGGG